AATTGCAATAGTGGCCACTGGACTGGACTGTTAGTGATATTCTAACCTTTGGACTAAAGAACAGGAAATTGCAATAGTGGCCACTGGACTGGACTGTTAGTGATATTCTAACATTGGACTAAAGAACAGGAAACTGGTATTGTTGCCACTGGACTATTAGTGATATTCTAACCTTTGGACTAAAGAACAGGAAATTGCAATAGTGGCCACTGGACTGGACTGTTAGTGATATTCTAATATTGGACTAAAGAACAGGAAACTGGTATTGTTGCCACTGGACTATTAGTGATATTCTAACCTTGGACTAAAGAACAGGAAACTGTTGTAACAGCCACTGGACTGTTAGTAATATTCTAACCTTGGACTAAAGAACAGGAAACTGTTACAACAGCCACTGGACTGTTAGTGATATTCTAGCCTTGGATTAAAGAACATGAAATTGGTATTGTGGCCACTGGACTATTTGTGATATTCTAACCTTTGGACTAAAGAACAGGAAACTGGTATAGTGGCCACTGGACTGTTAGTGATATTCTAATATTGGACTAAAGAACAGGAAACTGGTATAGTGGCCACTGGACTGTTAGTGATATTCTAATATTGGACTAAAGAACAGGAAACTGTTATAACAGCCACTGGACTATTAGTGATATTCTAACCTTTGGACTAAAGAACAGGAAACTGTTATAACAGCCACTGGACTAAAGGTTAGAATATCACTAATTGGACTAAAGAACAGGAAACTGCAATAGTGGCCACTGGACTGGACTGTTAGTGATAGTCTAACCATGGACTAAAGAACAGGAAACTGTTATAACAGCCACTGGACTGTTAGTAATATTCTAACCTTGGACTAAAGAACAGGAAACTGTTATAACAGCCACTGGACTGTTAGTGATATTCTAGCCTGGGACCAAGGACCAGTAGGCAGGAATGCTTTCCTCTGGACTCAAATTCGATGACAAGGAACCAACTTTGAAACTAATAACGCTTGGAGACGGTTTGAATGTGTCATGAAGAAAAACTTTAATATAAGCTTAACATAACAGCAAATGTACAAGGTTTCGACAAGGTTTTGTCATCATCAGGTACAACCTGATATTCAAGCAATCTCCAAGAATTATTTTCCTCCGGACTGTTATACTTCCGCTATATTCTCCTAAGTTCCCTAGTTAAAATCCAAGCAACAGTCATTTTAAGGACTATGCATGTGAAGATATCAGTTAGCTTAAAGTTAAATATTATTAGAAAATGGTTAATGAACAACATGAGGTGAATATAGGCCATAGTTTTCTGTAAATCATTAATGTATCCACCTAGTCCTAGGTTAAAATATTCCTTAACGTATCCAACTAGTCCTGGGTAAAAATATTCCTTAACGTATCCACCTAGTCCTGGGTTAAAATATTCCTTAACGTATCCACCTAGTCCTGGGTTAAAATATTCCTTAACGTATCCAACTAGTCCTAGGTTAAAAGATTCCTTAACGAATCCACCTAGTCCTGGGTAGAAATATTCCTTAACGTATCCACCTAGTCCTAGGTTAAAAGATTCCTTAACGTATCGACCTAGTCTTAGGTTGAAATATTCCTTAACGTATCGACCTAGTCCTAGGTTGAAATATTCCTTAACGTATCGACCTAGTCCTAGGTTGAAATATTCCTTAACGTATCCACCTAGTCCTAGGTTAAAATATTCCTTAACGTATCCACCTAGTCCTGGGTTAAAATATTACTTTTATTAACAAAAAGCAGAAACTCGTATGTTACCAATTACTCGTACCACATCTCGAAGCTTTACAAAAAGAATGTTTGTTCATCCAACTCAAAACGTGGGTCATCTATAGCACACAAAATTAAGACTTTCATCGAGGGGAAGGAATTCTGGAACACTATTTTAGATTAGAGTTATACTTTCAAATAAAGACAACTATAAGAATTTCAACAACGAACATACTTTTAAAAGTAAGTTACGAATTAATATATGTACTCAAGGAAGGCAAATAAAAGTGTAAAAGTAGAGAATTCTTACTAAACCTTCAATTTAGTGTGACTTTTTGTTTAACACATATTATTTTGCTCGTACAAATAACTTAGCTGGTTAACAGAAGGAATAATAGCACGACTTTACGGCTGTAATACTGGTATTAACTTGTTAAATAAAAATTCTTAACAATACTTGTTAAGTCTAACTTTACTTTAGAATGAAAAACAAAATGATAGCTCTTACGACTTCTGGTTTTTGTTCCTAGCCAACTCTGTTCCTTAAAACCGATTTTCTTAAAATCTTGGCCCATCTGTTCTGCTAGCTCTGTAACAAAGACATCAATTTTGAAATTATTAACCTTTTAAGATTAAATAATCTGTAGTATAATCAGGAATTTTTTAATGTAGGAATCAGATACAAATCGATCTTATGTGGGCAACAATACATTTTTATAACAAGAATACTATTCGTTTCTTATAACGATTAAGGTTTTCAAACAAAGGTATAAGATCAAAGTGTTGAGGATATATGAACGTATTGTTACGTCTCTGGTCGTTTGTTAATTTCCCGTATAATTTATTTCGGATGAAACTTTAGCGAAACAAGTCGTTTCTTAAATAAAACTAGTTTATTCTTTCTCAATACAACTTTGCAATGCACTCAGTTTCCACAGTCACTTTAACTTAAACACACGCTACAATTCACAACGATTCACGCACTTTACTTGACCCAATTGTCCGTCTCTATCTCTGCCTGTCTTCAATTATCTATGCCGTCACTTCATTTGCCGGCTTATATATACAAAAATAGAGGGCGCGTAGAAAAGACTAGAGTTACCAGGAACAGACATGATCCTTCTAGAATCTCGTGACGTGTTACTAGCGTCACGTGACTTCCGCTGTCGTAACAGTATTGATAATTCTATTAGCCATCTCAAACTGTACTTTTTCCAAAAACTTATGTTTATTTATTTACTTCAAAATATATTTATTGGGGCAAAACTGCTTTGGATCAAACGGTTTTAGAGATAATAATTTAATAGTTCCATATTAAACTAGAGAGAAAATAACGCGTTTGAAATGTGTTTGGAAAAAAAAAACGAACAAAAATATAACATTTCAAATTCTTTAGATTTTGTAAGTCCCCCAGTGGCACAGCGGTATGTCTGCGGACTTACAACGCTAGAAACCGGGTTTCGATACCTGTGTTGGGCAGAGCACAGATAGCCCATTGTGTAGCTTTGTGCATAATTACAAATAAACAGATTTTGTAAAAAAAATACGGTTTTATGAATGGGTCAAAATAACAAGAATTTTCATGTATACTAGAATATTTTACTTACAAGTTTGTTTTAGAAACTTCCAAACGTTTTATATATTTTTGTACACAAGATCACCAGTACACATATGTAACTGTTCTACATGAGATCCAGTACTTACTGTGGAGTTTTTCAGCGAGCTGTCCTTTACACTTCTCAAGGGGAACTTCGCCGTATTTGTTACAGACAGACACGAGGGCACCGTTTTTTATTAGATCCTGGAAACAGATAATCTTCGTAAACTAGAAATTCTGGACAACTTAAACGTTCCAGAAATGGAACTTTTTATGGATAGTCCAAAAAATAAATTCAGTTACACAAAAAACGTTCACGTTCCTCCCCCCTTCCATACGTCGTTGTAACATCTTCGACAAAATAAAAACAGGCAGCCAGTATACGTCGTTGTAACAGTTTCGACAAAATAAAAACAGGCAGCCAGTATACGTCGTTGTAACAGTTTCGACAAAATAAAAACAGACAGACAGTATACGTCGTTGTAACAGTTTCGACAAAATAAAAACAGGCAGCCAGTATACGTCGTTGTAACAGTTTCGACAAAATAAAAACAGGCAGCCAGTATACGTCGTTGTAACAGTTTCGACAAAATAAAAACAGGCAGCCAGTATACGTCGTTGTAACAGTTTCGACAAAATAAAAACAGGCAGCCAGTATACGTCGTTGTAACAGTTTCGACAAAATAAAAACAGGCAGCCAGTATACGTCGTTGTAACAGTTTCGACAAAATAAAAACAAACTGGGCCGAGAAGGAATGGGCTTACCTCGGCGATGGCTGCGTAGCCCCAGAAGCAGGCATAATGAAGAGCTGTGTTTCCATGCTCATTTACGGCGTTGATATCAGCTTTACTTCGAAGAAGCTAAAATGGAATAACAAATTAGAATTATTTTATTATTTGTTCTAATTAGCACACAGAACTTAACTATGTGGATAAAAAAACGCTGAATGTCTGCCGACTTACAACGCTAAAAACCAGGTTCGATACCCGTGGTGGGCAGAGCCCAGATAGCCCATTGTGTATCTTTTTACTTAACTTCAAACAAACAAGCAATATATACAGTTTTTATCTGACTGTATTGTTCTATTTTCACAGGACGGCGGAATATATTTGAATATCGGGGGGGGGGGGACACCGACGATAGGGGGCACCTTATTTGCTACGTTAACCGTGACCACTGGATTCAAAGCTGAAACGACGATTTTCCTTGATAATTATATATTCAAGTCTCTATTCCCCATTCGAAGGGGCGGATTGCTACCGGGTCCAAAGTTGAGAGGCATGTGCCTCCCCTGGTTTCAACGCTTATTTCTATTTGATGATATTACAGGACTTTACTTTCGTCCATATTCAACTTTATTCAATGTGTCGGATGCTGAAGTTACCACGAGATTGGGTTCGTCACGAGCACGACAAACACGCGATGCACTCACGATGGTTGTCCCCCATCAATCCTTTATTTCAGAGGACAGCCTTTATTCCTCGCATCTGTTTCTGACGCGTTGTTAGAGGGTTTTTAATATCCTCTACTGGGATAATTAGATTTTTCTGACACTACACCATCCAATATACGTTTTTTTTGTTTTTTTTTATATTCTATCGAGACAAATGTGTATCGATCTTATACTAAATAAACCACGAAACATTCTGCTACTGTTAACATCTGCGAACTAAGTCAAGCAACACCCTACAATAACCTCCATCGTCCAATTCAACAAATCTATTCCCCTTGACGATGTTTGACATAATTTACTCTCGGTAACGTTTATAAGGTGTTGTTCCCACGACAGCGTTACGATACTTACTCTGGGTAATGTTTATAAGGTGTTGTTCCCACGACAGCGTTACGATACTTACTCTGGGTAACGTTTATAAGGTGTTGTTCCCACGACAGCGTTACGATACTTACTCTGGGTAACGTTTGTAACGTGTTTATTCCACGACAGCGTCACGAGACTTACTCTGGGTAACGTTTGTAACGTGTTTATTCCACGACAGCGTCACGAGACTTACTCTGGGTAACGTTTGTAACGTGTTTATTCCACGACAGCGTCACGAGACTTACTCTGGGTAACGTTTATAAGGTGTTGTTCCCACGACAGCGTCACGATACTTACTCTGGGTAATGTTTATAAGGTGTTGTTCTCACGAAAGCGTTACGATACTTACTCTGGGTAACGTTTATAAGGTCTTGTTCCCACGACAGCGTCACGAGACTTACTCTGGGTAACGTTTATAAGGTGTTTATTCCACGACAGCGTTACGATACTTACTCTGGGTAACGTTTATAAGGTGTTGTTCCCAGACAGCGTCACGATACTTACTCTGGGTAACGTTTATAAGGTGATGTTCACAGAACAGCGACACGATACTTACTCTGGGTAACGTTTATAAGGTGTTGATTCTACGACAGCGTTACGATACTTACTCTGGGTAACGTTTATAAGGTGTTGTTCCCACGACAGCGTCACGAGACTTACTCTGGGTAACGTTTATAAGGTGTTGTTCACAATACAGCGTCACGAGATTTAGTCCTGTTCACAAACGGTTTGAAAGCCTGTCCCTGTAAAGTAACGACAGGGAGAGGATCTTGCGACGTCACCGTATTCAGCTAAGGCTGAGCGATTGACCACGAACTGGTAATACATACATCTTAGTCTCTCGAGTAGCAGTCGCCCCCTACTAATTTATAAGTTTAACAAAGGAAATAAAAATATTTCAATTAGTTATACAACATCCCTATGACCACCCACAGTAAACCACCCAACACTGACCATATGTACGACATCCCTATGACCACCCACAGTAAACCACCCAACACTGACCATATGTACGACATCCCTATGACCACCCACAGTAAACCACCCAACACTGACCATATGTACGACATCCCTATGACCACCCACAGTAAACCACCCAACACTCACCATATGTACAACATCCCTATGACCACCCACAGTAAACCACCCAACACTCACCATATGTACAACATCCCTATGCCCACCCACAGTAAACCACCCAACACTCATCATATGTACAACATTCCTATGACCACCCACAGTAAACCACCCAACACTCATCATATGTACAACATCCCTATGACCACCCACAGTAAACCACCCAACACTCACCATACGTACAACATCCCTATGACCACCCACAACACCCACACAGTAAACCACCCAACACTCACCATATGTACAACATCCTTATGACCACCCACATTAAACAACCCAACACTCACCATATGTACAACATCCTTACGACCACCCACAGTAAACCACCCAACACTCACCATATGTACAACATCCCTATGACCGTGAGCTGCGGCGAGATGTAATGAAGTGTCGTCTCCCATATTAGTGGCGTTAATTCTCACCCCACGGGCTATCAGCATCTCCACTATGTTAACTTTGCCGTTTTTGGACGCCCAGTGTAGTGGACTGAAGCCATGGTCATCACTGGAAAAGTAGATACGAAATAATAATAACGATAAGTAAATCAACAACACAGTTTGAAGTTAAGAAATAAAACTTACAATTATAAAAACATATTCTGATAGTTTACTTAATAATGCTACACGTGGAACCTTTTATTGATGATCGGCTCAAGAATTACAGGGTCTGACCTGACCTGGTGATTAAGGCGCACGGGTTCGAATCCCATCGTCGAACATGCTCGCTTTCAGCCTTTGGGGCGTTATAACGTGACGGTCAACCCCACTTGTTAGTTGATAAATAGTAGTCTAAGAGTTGGCGGTGGGTGTTGTAGATTAGCTGCCTTCCCTCTCGTCTGTCATTTTCAAATTAAACACAACTAGCGCAGATAGCCATCGAAGAGCTTTGTACGAAACAGCACAAACTATTTAATAATAATAATTATTAGTATATACGTAAATCCAAAAATATTTGTTATCATATTCTACTAAGCCTTAAGGAGTAGTGAAATGAATAGAACATTTATTGTTTCAGAAACAATGTAAGTCAGCGATATTTATAACATTGATAATTTAGACACCAATCGGATATTTTACAGCAGAATTGAAATCACGTGCTTAGCCAATAGAGGGGTGGGATACGTGCGAGTGTCATTAAGAAGCCCGGGAAGGAAGTAGGGTATACGTCACGGATGTTTTGAGTCGTGAATCACAGTTTGTGGTTGCTTCATTTACACTGTTTGCACTAGTAATATTTAACTTTCAAACATGAACAGCAACACACGTAGAACCACGTTTTATACAGTCTATCGTTCCATTGTACTAGCGTTTTATTTATGATGTCAAAATCTCAACACATACAGGGTGTTTTGTACTTATACTTGGGGCACAGTTAGCACATCAAACACGCGTAGTTCATTCTTTACGATGGCTGCTTAATCGTATCGTTACGGGGTTCGATTCCCGCGGTGGACAGAGCACTTATAGCCAATCGTGTAGCTTCGTGCTCAAACCAAACAATTTTACGGGCGCAGTTTTGCTATATTTAGATTCAAATCAGGTTAATTAATCCAAAAAATTAGAGATTTACCAGGTTCTATAATGTTAAACCTGGGACTAAAATATGCAAATTCACAAAAACGAAAAGCAAAGTTTTATTTATGAACGGTGAATTATCAAAATTTGCGCGAGTGTGCGACAAAATAAATAAATGATTAAATGTGTCGTTTTTTTTGGCAATAATATGGCTGATTTTATCGTGGTCACAAAATGGTGTGAAACTTGGTCAACCTACCATTTCCCTCTCTATGCATTATTACTCTCTCTGGGAATATTTAATGGAGTTAGAAGACATTTAG